TAACCTTGACCGTCAAAATATTGAATCTTACTTAAATTGTTATATCATGGATTTGTTTTATTATTGGACAAATGAGGACAAAACATTCATGACGATTTATTCAAATGTGGCCTTGATATTTGAATTACCACGACTGTCAAGGTCAAAAATGAAAATTGAATTTCAAAAATTTTGCTTCCATGGAGTTTCAGCGGTAGCTCTTATTAAATGCATATCATACTCAAATGATTTGAAATTATCATTTTAGGATCCAAAATCCATATAAAGTCTGCAACATTTTCAAATTTTGTCGTTTTTATTTTTATTTATGCGTTCTTGAGGGATTCCTTACTACCGTCTATTTAAACGCCAGATCAGCGTTGTTTTTGTCGTGTGGAGACCGTAAAATGTCGCCCCGTAAATGAAGTATGTTATATTTCTGAACCTTAAAGATCGTTCAGAACGACATTATTGCCGTGCTTGTGTTATTTTTAGTTCCCTCTTTTCGGTTTTTATCTAGCTGAGTTGTTCTAGAATTTCTCATTTGAATACTTTTAAATCTACCCCTTAGGATATGTGGCCTGCTTTTTATTTGTCCTTTGAGGACTTATCTGTGATATGCATGCTATATTATCTCTGATCCCTTATAAAATATTCCATTTAATTTAGTTCCGCCCATTGTTTTCTCGTTTAGGGCACATTCATTCTTCAACTTGGGGACCATACGCCGCTTTTCATGTAATAGCACTAACGCGTCACGTTGGAGGTTTCATGATAACCTCCGTATGAATAAATCGATTGATGTTTTAAAATTCCATATTTTACTATGTTAAAGGGATAGTCAGGCAAATTAATGAATTAATATCTAAATGGTTAAAATGGTATTATGCACTCAAATCACACACACAAAAATGACTTTCCTTCATGAATTTCTGTATACATTCTATGATTTTTTGGTTTGAAGGGTAAAAATATCTACATATGTTGGAAGAAATTTAAACGCCGAAAGAATCAGTAATCCTTAAGCAAGTCATATGACTTGAACGAACCCTTGAAGTTTTGAAATAACAGATATTGTGGATATTGTATGATTGAAACAAGTCTAAGGCATTCATTTGATATGTTATTTAACGTTTTCAGAGATCACTGTGACAACTATTGTGAAAACTTAACGCTCTTACCTGACCCACGTAACCACCATTTAATTCTTTCTAAGGAGAAACGTTTTGTTCCTGTGACTGCCTAGAGTATTAATTTTGAGGACATTTACAGAAAAATGAATGAAACATTTAAAGCGAAGAAATATTGTGCATGCGTCTCTGTTTAAGCGTGGATGGTTACATGATTTTTCCATTTCCTTTCATGAACAGATTCAACCAAACCGAGTCTGCAATCATTTACTGTCTTTCGTTTTATGCGTTCTTAAAGAATACTTTATAACACTCTATTTTATTATATTGAAGTAATGTTCAAAGTTCTTTCAAAATATAAAATAATGGTGGAATGAAATAAAGAGGTCATTTGACATGGTTGAGAATAATACTGGTTATATTGGATTCGTATATACAAGACTCGAATAGCGTCCCGTCTAATAAAACTCGTCGAATAGAATTCAGTATGGTACTCAACCTCATGATATATTATAAAACATTTTATAAAGGGTGAGCAGCTTATAAAACAAAGATACATAATAATCCTAAGAAGTCCTAACCTTGATAAAATGTATCCTCCAAATAATATAAGTTATACGCCGTAATTCTTCATCTATGATCCCCTAATCAAATTAATTTCTCTTTAATTCTTTCAAAAGCTGAACAATACTTCGATACGATACGTGTAACCAGTGTTCGCTCCTATCAATAAGCCTCTAGTTTTCATTTCGATGATATTAAATTATACACTGGCGTAGCTGTGTAGATGTTACATAACATCAGCAATAAAATGTTCGATGAAGCTTTAGAAAACCACACTTTTCAAAATTGTGTCATTGCAAGATGAGTCCACCTAATCGTACTACGAGATTGTGTGCTATTTTATGTATGATATCTCCATTCCAAAGAACCCAGAAAGCTAGCTTTCGCACGAGTAAATATTGTGAGATTAAACATTTAAAGATATTTCATCAATAAGAATTTTCCCCCATTAAACTTACAAAAAAATATTGAATATAATAGAACCACTGCCCTCTATGCTAAACACTTGACGACATTGGGAAATCGCGAGGTAATCTTTATTTAATCATTTAAATTTTTCACAAGCATCATCCATGTTGCAATTTTGCTTTTGTTTTTGATTATTCATTTCCAGATTCGTTTAACTCGTTTTGTTAATAAATATATGTGGATACCACTGTTTAAGTCTTTTCATGTTTGTTATTAATACTAGATTATTCGGTTTGCGAGTTTTGACCCTTCACTTTACAAGGGATTCGAAATGGTTTTAACAGAACTCTCGTCATCAAGTATCCTTGAGATAATTTTTGCCGAACTGTGTCCCTATGTTGTATGCATAGTGGGAAACTTTTCAAAGTACAAATTCTTCTTTATATTATATATTCTTTTTGAAATCAATGTGGACAATTACAATGCACCATGTCTACCCTGATAGCTTCCGCGCGTGAAAAATTCTATATCTCTATTCTATACATTGTCACGGTAAGGTACAAATGATAGCAAATCAGCAACCTAAATAACATATCCTATCAAACATTATCATACAATGTGTAATCTATTTTAGTAAATTGATAAACGAGTCTAGTTCGTAGTCACTGTGACTTAGGCAAAACGTTTTCAGAAAAAATGTTTTTGCAAATCGGAACGTAAATCATCATTTTTGAGATTTGACATATTAGATTTTATGAAGTAATTACTGGTGTAGCCTAAGAATGCATTGTTTGGAGGTGGGGTCCAATGACTCCCCCCCCCCCCTTCATTCCGGTTTGCTGTGTGTATGTTTTGTTGCTGTTTCGTTTTAACGACGATTTTCGCTCATTTTGTGGTCTTATTTCGGTGGTCGGACCACCACAATACCATCTTTCCCGGATGACTAAACAGTAATTACCAACCTTTCCGAAAGTGACTGTCTATTATTCCTACCAAGACAAATGGCCACATTAGACTCAATGCCTGAGATCATTTGTCACTTTACTGAAATGCTTATCCTCTGGACCTCATTCAAGTCGACAATTTAGATATTTCAAGATAACCCGATTGATATATATTTTCGATCAACTTACATCCTACGGAATTATCAGTACCTATATAGGAATCTAGTAGTGATCCTTTTTTATTTTTAATCATAACGTCAAGTGCTAAAATAAGTTTTTTATTGCCATTTATTGTAAGATAATGTGAAGTATTTTATAGTTTTTGTAAATGCAACAGTAATGAAATTAAATTTTGTCTAGACAGGCGGACTTAGACAAACACTAACCTTCTTAAAGATGTATGTTTGTCACCGTACAGTGTGATACGTTAATGTAACGTATACATGTAATAATTTGATGACAACTTTAGATGAATATATATAAAGTGATAAACTGATAAACAAAATTATTATTCAGCATTGTTGTAACTACTGTATGTTATAGTTATAGATATAATTCGAAAATGACACAATCATATATTTTTAACTTGAAATGTTAACTTTAAAGAATAGTATGGTTTGAATTGAAACAGACAATAACATTATATAATTAAATCGTCTTTCATTGAATTTAAAATCATTGCTCACAAAGAAATATAAAAACGGACAGTACAAAAATATGCTCGTTGATGATAGAATTTGCAATTGTTGTTCATTACAAGATATTGAAATTAAAGAACACTTTATGTTGAGATGATCTGTTAATTTCTAGTATATCTGAAAATGTTTAAAACTTTAAAATAAACTAGAAAAGACTTAGCCGTTTGTAAAGATGGTGTGAAACGAGAATTATAAAACTATTTAATTTACTGATACAGCGACCTTAAGTTTATCAATCATTTTTTTCCATCTCGATTCACATTTCTAAACTCATTAGTATTCATGATAACGGTTTATTACTTAACAATTTAAACAGAATGAAAGGCATGGAAGTATAGATACTGACTTTGCCGCCAGTATAAACCCAGGTAAATCATGTAAAATGACCCGGCTCTCAAGCATTGTTGGTGGCTTGATATTTACATCACTTGAAGTTTGAAAGGACTGTTCCAATTTCAAAGCAGAAGAAAAGCAAGTGTACAACTATTGGGTGTAGATGAAGGATTGAGTCTTGATTTATAGGAGGATTATAAGACTTTGAATAATATTTTATTCTTCGTATCCTTAGAACCACTGCTACTTGTGCAAGCATTTTCATAGAGACTTCCACCTACGATTCCTAATTGGCATTTAACAGGGGTCTTTGAACCTCGAATATAATTTTGATGTGACATAACCGCGCAAGATTCGGCACACCATTACATGAAGAAATATCATGCACTTGAAGTCATCGAAGTGTTTGCATGACAATCAAGTATAATACTATACATATACATATTAAGTCTTGTATAGGTTTGAGTATAAGGGCCTCGTCTAAATTTGGGAATATATAATGAATCTACGGAAGCCGAAATGTAGACGAATACGTATTAATACAATTGATTTATAATGATAGTAATCTGTTGGTTTCTTTTGAAATACTTTTTATCTTAGTATTATTTTTTTCTCAAGTATTTTTTACAAATGTATAATATAATGAACTGCTGATATTAATTCATGTGCGTGTTATGACGACGGTTTTAATATTCTGAAACAAATATGGCGGCCATCTCAGATTTTGGTGGTCATATTGGATTCGCACAACCTGGATCCCAGGCTTAAATGAAGTGTTTTATAAGCCAACAACTGTGCCAAATCTCATGTTTTTCACAAGAGGTGCACACTTCGCACTATTTTATGCATGGATTTCTTGGTCTATATGTAATGAACAGTTTGCTAAATTATTGAAATGCAGAAATATCGAATTTATCAATTAGTCAAGTCGTTTACATGCTTATTGTAATTTAATACATAATCATGTTAACATGTAAGCACTGAAATAATAAACAGTAACAATACGAGTATGTACCAAATAATGAAGATTTTTAGAAGAGGTAAAATTACAAAATAAACAAATGATTTTGACTTTTAGCTTCTTACACATTTCATAACTTAGTTTAAAACTTATTAAATATCTCGCTCGCCCGAATGCCACAGAAAGCTATAAGAACATATGTTAATCTTTTATTATAAACCAATATTTTAAGACCAGTAAAGGACTCAATTACCTGAACTTCTATCAGTTATTTCACAAACAAAAATATAGCTGTCAAGAAATAACATTCATGAATGACGGATGAATAAATCATTTTCCAAACAAGAGCGATCAGTGATCACATGTGTCGCCTCGTGATGGCCAATTTCATGTTGGGACAAGTTTTGTGACAGACGGACAGTGCACAACTATACTTGGTACTGATCATTCCTGTAAAGTTTGGATAAAATTTCACCAGTAGTTTATGAGGAGTAGTCCGGACAAGCTTTTGTGTATCTGGCAACACACAGTTAAAACACCTTTTTATCAAAGGGCTATAACTCGGCCAAAAATCATTCAACCGAAAAACCCGTGCAATATGCGCAAGGACTTGAGCTACAGATCAATTCTGTAAAGTTTCATTGAAATTGCATAAGTGGTATAAGAGAAGTAGTCCAGACAAACTTTAAAAATAAAATCATTAAAGGGCCGTAACTCTTACAAAAATCATTGAACGGAAAAATGCTGACAATATGCACAACTAGACTTGGTACTTATCATTCCTGTAAAGTTTGGATAAAATTGCACAAGTAGTTTATGAGGAGTAGTCCGGACAAGTTTTGTGACGGACGGACAGACAGACGGACAGACTGACGACGGAGAAGTGATCCCTATATGTCGCCACTACTCCGTAGAGGCGACACAAAAATGAGCTACTGTTACCCATTAATAAATTAATATATTCCCGAGCTTTAAAAATCGATAATTTTACATTCCCGCAATATGGACCCAATAAAGGTATGCTATAGGCAATAAGAGTTGTTCTTGTTCACATGTTTCTTATCCTACTCAACATTTTTAGTTTACCCTAAAGTCAACAATTTCTTATCTGCTACACCAATCTCCGCGCACCTTTTTACTCACCTTTTGGTACTGATCATGGGAAGTAACCGTTGTTGATTCACTAAACTTCTCGTTACTTCCCCTGATCAGCACAGAAAATATATTGAAATATAACACGTCTGTTAAATAGTGTTCATTTTAAGAGGGGTAGATTGGTTTTAACTAGTGTGATATCTTTAAAACATTAATAAACATTAATAAACAGTAGAAGCCTGCCCCTTTAATAATAGCAGGCGACTCCCTTTGACAGCGAAAAAACCCATTAATATACAGTATTCTGGTATGTAATATTAAGTTCACTACATCAGTACCGTATAGCTATCAGTAATCAGGATGAATTGGCAAATTGTTATTAGCTCCTCGGTCATTTAATTAAGATGTATCAATATTTATCACTTACAACTCTGAAAATAATACAGATATATTACCGTTTTATGTGTATGACACTGTATATACATGTTTGGCATCGTTCTTTTGATCATTTATGGCATATCAAAAATGGATCAGTCATTTTTTCACACGTGAATGAGTCATTCAATAATGGAGATAGGTGAAAATTGATCAAAATTCGTTCAAAAATGACCAATCCGGACAATTTTAAACGGGTTCAAAATTTAATGTTACATCGACACTTCCATATATGGAACCATATTATTTACTAGCATAGCATGAATTTACAAATTTGTAGGATTTTTAGCAATTGCAACATCTCGGCTATTATGTTATGCGAATGGGCTTTTAGCACAATAACTTTTTATTGCACAATATGGTAAACCAAATTTATTTTTTGTTTACAAAAATGAGTTTTACTTAGTGCTGCTGTGAACAACAATATTAAATAGTATAATGTCCTATTAATAAAATTTTAACACAAAGAGAGAAGTTAAAGTATAAGAGCGTTTATGAAAAGGGCATTATTTATAAATGAGTTTAGCCCCAATACGAACAAACTTGATGCCTTATTGATGTATTGATAATTTTGTATTTAGTGTCATAGCGGAACACAACTACAAGATTTCTGAGAACGAAAAAAAATTATCTTAAATATTGACAAACAGTGATAAATAGATTTATTTGGCAAATGATATGTTGACACACTGACCAATTAACATGATTTTTATAGCATATATGTATGTACAGAAACACACAGCCCATGTCTTTATAACCAATAAATAAATGACATAAATTGGACAACAAAACCAACAGCTAGACTGCATAGCAAAGCTCTACATATGATATTGATTGAATATCAGTAATTTAAGACATTAAGTATTGAGTAATCATCATACATTAAAAGGGAAGGTAAATGTATGCAGAGGCCGACTGTTAAATATGATATGTTTGATCATATAACTGTAACTCTTTGTCTCCACATGTAGCATTTTAAATCTATGTACAATATAACAACAACAAAAACACTATATATTATCAGATATAATAAACTATCATTTTGTCAGGATAGCATGCAACAACTAAACAGTTTCTCTTGTCATCGAACAATAATGATAATGGGCTTACTAAACCGGAATCTTTAGAAACTAATTCTCCGAGGCATTTCCCTTCGCTATCAAACATCATGATGTTGTTTGAGCCACATCCAGAAATAAACACGGTTCCGTCATTGGATACACATACACCACGTGTGTCAGCAAGCCTTTTATCTCTCAGTTTCCTTTTCACCGTTCCATCTCTTGTCAAACAGACAACACCATCACTTGGGTCTGCTACACAAACATTTTCTCTGCTGACGGTCATTTGTTGTATAGATGTAAATATGCGTTGACCATTCACATCACTACCGATAGAATTTAATATTGTACCTGTCATACTGTATACATTTACACCTCTCTCAGCAGATACCCACAACTCTCCAGCACAATATGCCATTCCCCTGTAACCTCCACTTGTAACAGATATATCTCTCACCTTAGATAATATGCTCCCTACCGATATAAACCTAACTTTGTTGTTGTTCAGTTTCACAGCGACCTCAGTATTACCAGTACAACAGATACCTGTAGTATATGATCCTAGATCAAAACAATCTTTAATGTTATAATTCACATCAAGTCTCTTTATCCTCTTATTATAGTGATCAGCCAATATGATTGTACCGTCTGGAAGCTGACATACATCACAAATGTAGGGATCGTCCTTGTCGTTTTTCATGCGGATATTTTCCTCCTTCTGTGAACGTACTTTATACGTCCTTGATGTCGGCAGTCTTTTGTTTTCTGATATCTTTTGTACAGACCCTAAAAATGTTGATGAACTGACAGAGGACTTTAATTCTGTATTTTCCTTCAAATACAATGATTGAATGCCCTTAGATTCATGTTGTCCAAATACTGTTACTGCATCGTTTAATGTTTGTTGTGTCAGTTTTGTTTGGACAAACTGTATTTTATCCAGGCTATCCAAGTCTTTTAGTTGACTTCTTACCTGCTCAATTTCTTGTTTAGCTTTGCTTAAATTAGAAATATCTGTCTCCAGTTCTCCTTTGACCAAAGAATATACCGCATCTAGACCTTCCAACGCTTCACGCTCCAACTTCTGGATATGTTCTACCAAACCGCGCGCAAGTCCCTCTATTTGCGAAACGACGTCATTTCTTTGTTCCTCTATGCATTGCAGGTTCGTTTTCGTTTTCTTATCAGTATTTTCTAAACATTCTTGGATGTTCATAATGTCAGCCTTTAAACGTTCTGTTTCTCTTTCCTGATCAGTAGAAACTGATAAGTCGTCTAAACCTGTCACTCCCTTACAGGACCTGGTAACAAGAAAGTAAAGTATTTAAGATCATTTTAGTATTTACGCTTTAGTATCCTCACTATAATTAGGATCTGACATATTACTTTACATATCAACTATATACATTTATAAAGCTGATCTTGTTGTTTTCTGTGTGATAGCTCTGATAATTCGTATACAATTAATTTGGCTACTGTCTTCATGTGAAAGTGTTTTATTCATAATATCTTATCACTGGGATATATAGAAGTATCTGCTACACCTACCTTAAAGTAAATGATTTAAATGATGAAGTTTTTTATGTTTGTCAAAATGTAATGTTTCATGTGATCATGATTTTGTAATTTTTATCTCCTAGTAAGTGTTGTCCAATTATCATGCACATCACTTAAGTCAATTTGAAAGATGTTATCGCAGAAACATTTCAGATATCACATGACATATCTAATTATTATATTTAAAAAAAATAAAGATGATTGTGACACTAGCTTTCAAGTTGTCAATTATAAACAAGAGCTGTCACCCAAGTGACGAATGCCCCCGAAAAGGTTTCTTAGGCATGCAGGTACGCTCGTATTATGAAAAGAAAAGAGAATGAAAGTAACTAATTGCTGAATATTGTTCTTTGTTTTATTGTACCTGTAATCTCTAATTGTGATAGCATGAACCTTCAAAATATAAGTGTGACCTTGACCTTTGAAGAAGGGACGTGGTTCCTGGACGCTACAAAATGTTGTTATGAGAAAGACATTGCTAAATTATTTCAAAATCCCTTAATGCATGACAAAGTTACAGTCTGGACATGATTGTTATGTAAGTGGGGACACACGGACAGACGGACATGAGCCTCAGCCGCGACACATTGTCTTGTTGTGGTAGACATTTGTGCCAAGTTATTTTAAAATCCTTCCATGCATGACAAAGTTACAGTCCGGACTTGAATGTGTATTCGATAGAATGAGTACCTTCAAACTATAAGTGTGACCTTGACCTTGAAGGTAGGAACATGGGTCTATGTCGCGACGTATCGTCTTGATGTGGTAGACATTTATGCCTAGTTATCTTAAAATCCTTCAATGCATGACAAAGTTACTGTCCGGACACGATTGTGTGTACCTATAAACTCTAATTGTGATAAAATGAACTTCAAAATGGTAGTGTGACCTTGACCTTTGAGGTAGGGACGTGAATATTGGACGCGACACATGGTCTTGATGTTGTAGACATTTATGCCAAGTTATTTTAAAATCCTTTTATGCATGACAAAGTTACAATCCAGACACAAATGTGTGTACCTATAAATTCTTATTGTGATAAAGTGAAACTTTAAAATGTTAATGTGACCTTGACCTTTGAGGTAGGGAAGTGATTATTGGACGCCAAACGTCGTCTTGTTGTGAAAGACATTTTTCCCAAGTTATTCTAAAATCCTTCTATTCATAACAAAGTTACAGCCCGGACACGATTGTGTGACCCTATTTACTCTAATTGCGACAATGTGAACTTCAAAATGATAGTGTGACCTTGACCTTTGAGGTAGGGACGTGTTTCTAGGACTCAACACATCGTCTTGATGTGATAGACATTTGTGCCAAGTTATTTCAAAATCCCTCGATATATGTCAAAGTTACAGTCCTGGCACGAATAAAGTGGGGACGCACAGACAGACTGACGGACGGACAGAAATACGGTGCGATTATATTTTGCCTCCCTCCGGGGGCATACAAATACTGATTTAAATACTGAAAAAACACATATACCTTTCCCCCCAAAATTTAATGTTTTCGATGTCTGTCTATTCGATGTCACCATTCTTCCAAATCTCACATGATTTAAGTATATCATTGCAATTATTACAAAATATATAATGAGTTTCAAACTAATTATAAATCGTTGTAGTAATTCCAGATAACTATAAATGTAAAGATACTTAACAAAGAGAAATTAATATAAAGTAATACAAACCTATGATCTGTAGCAATACACTTTAAACAATAGACCATGTCATGTTCCTCACAATACATCTCTATCTCACGATCTAAGTGATATAAACATTTTGCTTTCACGATCACATGTGACCCTTGTTTTGCCTCGTTCTTGTCTACAAGCTTATGGGAACGGCTTATCCTCTGTCTTCCATGGTGTCGAGTGCATCCTGTACACAAAAACTCCAGACATTCAGGACAATATTTCACAGCTTGTTCTCGAATATCATCCTCAAAACAAGGGGTACAAACGATGTCAATTTCAGTTATAGTTGAACGACCGTCTACTTTAGCCATTGTGCCCGCTCAGTCTGTTATAAAATAACACATAAACGTTTCAATAACAATTTAAAGATCCTGCAACATAATATTTTTTATTGTTTTAAATCATAAATATAATGCTCAAATGAAGATTTACCAATAAGTCCCAAAAAGCATTATTTGTAAAAATATTACCGAATTTACATTTCATGTTAATAAAGGGAGGTAATTTGAAATATATTTTCTATAACGTCTAATACAATTTTTTTTCAATAATAAATGAATGTACATATTTAAATTATTACAAATACTATGGACAAATATTCGCAGTACATATTTTACATGTTCTTCTATGTTTGAAAATTGTTTTAGAAGCATCATGATATACATATAAAAAATCTCACTTAAGTGTGGAAACAACCCTATTTACAACATACAGGATTTTTATTATTTAACTTTACATTGAATCATTAAATGCATATTAATACGAATTCATGAAATTGAAATATATTACTACATTGTAGTATTAAGGTTTAATTTGTTCTTGGCATATTTTTTATTGAATATTTCACATTTTATGACCAAGATACCATATTTAATTATATAATGAAAACGGTGATCGATGAACACTTATAAAGATATTGTAAAATATTGTTTCATATATGCTTAGTCTGTTATATACATAAAATAGCATATACACGCTTCAATAACAATTCAATTCTACATTATTTATTATTTATGCAATTATCATATAGAATTGTAACATATTACAGCCCGCTGTCACATATGACCTAGAGGTATGACCTTGACCTTTGACCTAGTCACACGATTATTGCGCATGACAAGTCAACTCATTATTGTAAACATTTGTTCTAAGTTATTTTAACTTCTGCCTACTAATGACAGAGTTACGATCCGGACAAACGTAATCCGGACGGTAGTAAGACCTTGACTTTTGACCTGGTCAAAGAGTTTTTGCGCGCGACACGCCAACCCATGATGTTAAACATTTGTGCCAGGTTATTTGAAATCACATCAACTATTGATATAGTTATATTGCGGACAAGCTGTTTAAAACTTTTCTTTTGCATTTAACCTTTAAGTATGGCCTTAACTTTTGACCTTGCCACATGACTCTTGATCGCGACACGCTGTCTTATGATGTTGAATATTTACGCCAGATTATTTGAAATTTCAACAGTTAGTGATAAAGTTATAGTGCCGACAAATTGTTTGAAACATTTTTTTGCATTTGACCTTTAAGTATGACCTTGACTTTTGATCTAACCACATGGGTCTTGAGCGCGACACGCTGAAACATTATTGCGAGCGTTTGAGCTAGGTATATGAATTGCTTCCTATTAAGAGTTACGTTCATGACAAGCATATCCGGACGAACGGACAGACGGACGCACTCACGTTCATACACCGAACCGCATTGTGTCAACAAGGTCGAACTCTCCACAAGCGGGCTCGACAAAAAACCAATCGTTTATAGGTTAAAAATAATGTCTAGTTTAACATTATTGACAGTAGGGGTTTCCGCGTCGCAGATATATCTATACACGAATTCGCGCAAGAAAAACAAAGTAGAATAAAAGTACAAAAAAGAAAACAATGAAATTTAAAAAAAGAAAAATTGACAAAAAAGCAAGATAATGAGGCAACGTGTCAGACTAGGATAACAGGTATTATTTAATTTTTGTTTATCTATTCCCTAATAGTAACTCGTAGATGTATGGATATATGATCAATTGATAATGATTTAAAATATGATATGAAAATTATATTGAAACAATAGACGGTTTACCTAATTATAACGTATAATGATTTTTCTCTCATCTAATTGGCTCTGTATGGCTATTTTATTAAAAAAATTCAGTATTATGTATCTCGTGTTTATGTAATGTATTATACACTGAGAAAAATAAAATTTGATTGAATTTATTGGATACAATATAATTAATATAAGCAAATAGTTGACTCATGGCAAAAGGTCGGTAGCATGTTAAGATTCAGATTTAAGCTACCAAAACTGTGACTCTAAATATATCATTTTAAAAGTAAATCTTTGGTCTTACAGAATGTTGACGATTGACGAAGCTTTTCTGTGAAGCTGTGTAACAGTTAAGATGTTATTTTTAAGGAAAAAAATTCATGAGTGTATGATTGTTTAACTTTTAATTAGAATATGTGTCATATGATGTAACTGGAAGAAGGATGCTTAAGTATAAGTTCGTCTGAATGATTTTGCTCAATAGAAGAACATTATTGAATTGTGTAGATTCAATAACATAAATTGAATGACAATCTTGACTAGTTTTTGTAATGTTTAATATACTTAGTATGAGACGAATTGAAGAATAGACATCAAATTGTGACATAAAATAAAAACGGAGCCGGTCATGTTAAATATCATATCAGTAATAGAGAAAGTATTTCATTTTGACATTTTATCCTCTATGTTTTAAATAATTTTATTCATATAAATATTGTTGGACTTTAAATGGTTCGGTGTTGGGTATGGGATTATATTTGCGGGCAACTTGTTAATAATCTGGCTACCCGCCGTTAACCTGTGACACATTCTATGTCTTCATTAATGCATCTTCATAAAATTGCACAGCATGTCTTCATTGTAATTATTTTTCTATTCTAATTTATTGTTTCCAAGTAAACACTACCACTTTGCATGTACATGTATTTTTGTATGTTTTTAAAGAGGGAATTTAAAGTAAATTTATTTCCTCAGAACAATGTTAACCAGTATTATGATATGCGGAACGATTAGCTTCTGTCTGCTCATCTATAAAGTTTGACAAGGTTCTTTACTGATGACGGTCCTGCTTCAAATTTCTCCAATAGTTTTAAAATAGAAAGTGGGACAAGTAAGTTTCTGAAATTTAGAAAGTTACCGACACAGATATGTAATTTACCTTATCCTCTAGCGTCTTAACCCTGTTATAATTTCTCAACAAAATACGTTATACACCGTAATTCTTCATATATTACACTAATCCAATCAATCTGTCATGATTTCTGATTTTAATGAATAACTCAACAATGTAATACGTGTTAACTTTACTATACTCCCATAATTCCCTCCTATAAATAAACTTCTTGTTTCGTTTTCGATAAAGGTATTTTTTACATTGGTGTAGCTGTGTTTATTTCTTAATGGTCTCTGCGCAGCTACCGCGCTATAGTCCAATGCTTTATTTAAAATAGTTTATTTTTAGTTGAACATCAAAAGTAATTTAATTAGATGCAGTATCCAACTACTACTAATAAAAATCATAATAATTATAATAAACACTTGATTTCTAGAAGGTAACATATTAAAAAATACATATCTTATTTCAATTAAGCATAGTAAAGAAACCCACATATTTGTACACACATATAAAAAATGTAAGCAACAAACATTTAAATCGACAGACACAAGTCATGCATTCATCAGATTCGTGTGAATATAAATAATATATTAATGTATATGTAAATATTTTTGTTTTATATTTCTGTTAAAAACATATAGAGAGGAAGATACTTGAATATATAAATGTAGATCATTCCATAGTGCATAGCTTTATTCCTATAAGTTCTTTTAACCTACTTTGTATCAGGTCTTGCATGTATTTGGTTTGTATCAGCAGTTGATCATAGCATATATGTTTCATTTTTCGGTAACAATAGGATATTGAAAAAAAAATAGGAAGGAGTCAATTTTTTGCAAAGATTACAAACAGGTGCCTCCCTGGGAAGGGGTCATGCCTAACCAGCCCCAGTCCTCTGGATTCACGAATTTCTTTTTTTTTTCAAATCGCAATCGTTCAGTACCCCACCCCACATGGTTAATGATTAAAAGATATTGCTTTGATTCCACATTCCTGTATTTTTGACGAGTCTTCTGTTGCAGGATAGGTAATCTGCTTTTTCGTTTTTGCATCATAAATGATTATTTATAAGTGAAGTTTGTACAAGCATTATTAAGAAGGAAATGTGTCATGCATAACAAATCTTGCTCCGTTCTGCTAAATATCATTATCCTATTTTATACTTATATTTTACGGAACGAAACGGAATCCGATTAATAGTGTGTTGAAAATACACAACGTTGAATGTAATAGTTTATGTTAGCTTTAATTGTGTATGATATTACATATCATATTTGGCAATAATTTATTTACGATTATTATTAATAAACTTTAGAATTTTATATATTTATAAGGAGTGTACTGGATATGACGCCATTCGATATATATTAAAGAGGTCCAGATATTGCCAAAAAGATTAAATTGTTCACTCATATTTCTTTCATTTTTCAGTTTTTATGAATAATAAATATTATGATAATTGGAATTCCTAGATTGAATATAAGTCAAGAATATTTTTTAAACAGGTTGCATGTAATAAAGTCATGTATCTGTAAAAATACCAAGATGAAAAAATACCGGAACAGCTGTTTTCAGTCTCGAAGATTTTATCAAAGGTGGGTATTCAGACGGTTCAGTTAGAAAAGCCCTAGACTGACTGTTCGCTCGGCAGTTTTAATATATCATTAAGGAAACATATTAGTTAAAAAATGCCGTGCCCTATGTGGTGCCCCAATGTTTGTTCCGTTCCGTTTCGTTCCATTCCTTTAAGTATGAATAAAACAAGTTTCACAGAATATATATCATATTCTCCATAGAAATAAACCAGGACTGACAAAAGACGGAGAGACAAACAACAAAAACAACACATAATCATTTGTTTTCATAAGGATAATATATAGCAGAATGAACAACAAAAAATATCATTAGATTTTCAAAGACAGACGGACAGACAGACAGTCAGGTAGATAAACAGACAGACAGATAAATGCACAACGAGACAGACGGTAAACGTACGGGCAGACGGACAATAAGACGTTACATATACTATAGTACCGAAACTTTATAACTTGTCATCATGTTTATCTGTGTACAATAAATAACATATTTTCATAACATGTGACAAAAAGCAACAGTTACACCGAATACAGCTCTTCGTCAAATAGTGGACTATAATTCAGTGAAAAACGTACGAAACAACTATGAATAGTGCGCTTGTTGGGACACTATCTGAAAGGATCCCTATGCTGACTTGTGGACCTGGAATTTATGAAGATTATGACCATTGGGTCAAGCCTCTCCCCGATTTGTGCAAAATGTAGCAGGGATGCTTATCATTACATTTTTACTGGTAGAATCTCATTTTAAGTATAATATATAAACTAAACAATGAATGTTTTTTCTTTAGCCTTAATTATACATTGTCTATACATTTGGTATCTTTTCAAAATCATTACGCTGGCACAACTGTTCTATTTATAGTTACAGTAAGCATTACTGAATACATTATTTCATGATATTCATGCTAGTTATACATGTCATGTCTTATGTAAAAGATTTATCTAATAGAGGGCTATACAATAAATGTTACTTAAAATACTTCAATATATTTGTACAGCTAAATATAGATTCTTGGTTTAAACAATATTTATTTCTACATCAATATTTACAGACAAGATTACAATATATAAATTACATTTAGGATTGAGTAGAAGCTTAGAGCTTATATGAATCTCTCTCCTGTAAAAACATATCTATAATTTATTTTAGTAACAACATGACATAGCAAAAGTTCATTGTACCTGCATTTAATTCCTTCCATATATTTACAATATTTAAATAATTTCTCGACATGGGGGAAAGGGAGATAAATAGACAGAAAAAAGAAAAAAGAGATCAGAATAGAGACAAAAAGTGGAGTAAAGAGGGGGGGGGGTCACTGTAATATAATGGAAAGTGTAGGTCCTATTTAAGAATATTACAAGAATTATTTTTTTTATTTACCAAGTATTGACATTTTAAATGATTTATTCATAAGTAATATAGTAATAAGTTTCCTTGTGACAATATGCTATAATTATTATAGCATATAATAAGGAAACACATAAAACAGAGGCTTTGGCAGCAAGATAAGGGTAACTCTTACTAAACGAAATGAAGAGCGCCCTTACTTGCATAATACCTTGTAAGTTTATTACAAAGTATCTTAAACACATAGATAAACAAGATATTCCAGATTCCATATTCAATTAACAGTTCAAGTTCATATTGTTAAAGCGTCTGCATGCATACTCCAGTGCAGAATTGTTACCATAAAAATATAGATTCTTGATACTGTTTAACACATTCCTCTCTTTGTTATTAATTTTTTATGCCAAGAAAGCCTGTGTGCTGCATCCATGAACTAAGTGCAAGTGAAGGCAGTTTTAGCATCTTTTTCTTAAATGAACAATTGCCTCAAATTAATTCGTATCATTGAACCGTTTTCATTGACAAGATACATAACACAACTAATAAAGTTTGCTACATTACCTTGTTATTAATATTAGGTTTTGCTCATGTTCAGGTTATTATGCAACGTTTCGCAATTGTACTTTTCTACTTATAACAGGATTATAAAAGACTAATTTGTAAATTAGTTTCTTTTCTTTGAACTAACATGTATTGTTATGTTACGGTTAAAAACAATAGGGCCACGGTGACGCTTGATTGCTCAGCTGGGATTATAAGGTCACAACTCTTAAATGCATTGGTTAGTAATAAGGTCACTTTCGACCCCAGCTGCATACGCTATAAGATATTTGTAGACATCCACTTAGAAGTGCTACATCACGCAGGAAATATTTAAATGTTCTTTACTATAGAAGTCTATATAATCTAAGTAATACACAATGCTTGGTAAATGATTTATACAACCATATTAGATAACCATAGGTTGATGTCATAGGGCAAACATCAGAAGTTTCGGCGTTTGAAGATCTTTTTTTTAAGGTTTATTTCTAGCTAGTGCAACATACTTCTACATCATACTGAAACATTTTACATACCTTTTTCCGGGTTTGATCAAAATCTACCTTTTTGCTTAGACGGGGATGTTCTTAATTTGAATAAAGAGGAACAAAAGTTCAACTCTGCTAAGGTGAACTAAAAGTTATTGTTACTTTTTTAACTTAACTTTGTTACTATTCGAAAGTTATAAAAAGAAAACAGAGCTTGGAGTTCTTTTACCAACAATTTATTGCTTCGCTAACGTTATAAAATACTAAACGACACTTTGTTACGTACATGTAATAAAATATGATAAACAAGATCAACAAGGAAAGGCGGCGTTCAATGAACGCAACGTACATGTAAGTTCTTTTAATTGGTCTGTTATGTATATATAATACTAGACTACACATTTGCAGGTTAATTCTTTTTATTTGTAATAACAAAGGTTTAAACTAATTTTCTTTTCCTAATGACAATATCAATATAAGTATGGTTGGATTATAAAACACTAATTCATATCTCTTCGCTGCACTTTGATAAGAATTTGGTTAAAGTCATCGTAAGTGTAAGTAAATAAAACGTTGACATCATCGGTTTCGTCCCAGTAGCTACACTGTTTTGGTGTTTCTCCTCCTGAAATATGAATAAATGAAACAATTTGTACATGCAAAAAATGCCGGCATGCCCGAATAAATGGCGGCCTGCATACCCGAATGATTGCCGGCCGGCATGCTCGAATAAATGAAGGGATGTCAAATAAATGCCACGTGGTCATCTTTATACTTGTTAACTAACTACTCTTCATATCTGTAAACAACATTGTCTGCGTTTAAAAAACATTTAATGTTAATTCTTCCGGTTTTGTCTTATACGAGGGTTGTTCAAAAAGTAATATGACTGCAGCTTTACTGCTCACATTTTTTAATTTACGTACACAATTTTACAAGAGACAATTATCGGAACAGGTTCTCTATATACAGTGAAAAAATCAATGCAAAATGTTAACAAATAAGATATCTGTGAAATTTTCAAATGACAAGGGGTAAGAAACCCGGCGCACGCTAACAATACAATAAATGACGTTCTTGGCGTCGTGAAATAAATACAAAATGTAACCAGCGTCATTCTTTCTGAAAATAGTGTCTTTAGTGCTCTAGGTGTCTAAATCATGTGACTATGACCAGGCTTCACATGTGGAGACGAAGAAAGGAAGAACGCGATCACAATTTCGTTCCGCTCCCACAAACAAATAATATAAAAACTTGGCTGATAGCCAGCCATTCTCTGCTTTTTGATATATTTTGAGTAATCTTGAAACTCAACAGGCATGGACTTAAATGTTAATGCAAAGGCGATTCATTATTCATTTACATATGGTATCATACATTGTAAAACAATATGATTTTACACAGTTAAATAACAATATGAATTTAATTGAAAAGTATTTTTTTCTACTTAGCACAGTACTCGTATATCAGGTATTTAAACAAAATTGGCGGAAATACTAATAATTATTACAGTTAATCATTATTATATTAGTTTTTTGAAAACACGTATTTCTGGACAAATACGATAAAAAAGTGTTTAAAACAAATATCTTTTATTCAATCCTTTGGTCAGAACTAAATAAGTAGACTCGTAGCAGACATAAAAAATGCCTGATAGTTCGCAATTCGTTTACCGTTGAACCTTTTGTAGCGCTTTTGCAATTGACGTCACTAACGTCCCGTCAATTTTCCGCTTTCATCCTCGCCCTTTCCTGTTTGTTATCTTGTATCCGCCGTTTTTGAATTGCTTGCGCCAGCTGAAAACTAGTGTTCTTATGGCAGGATGATTGTCCTTTGTTAATTAAATTATTTTGTATATATCTGAATGAGAATAGGTAATCTGTTGACAGCACGAATTTACAGTCATATTTTTACATTTAACGTGATGACCACTGCTGTTATAAACTAAATAACAAAATAGTGAAAAACAGAATCCCTAAAGAAAGCCCAACACGACAAAATTATAAAATGTTGCAGGCTCGGTTTGATTGAGCCAGTTCATGGACGGTAATGGAAAGTGCAAGTTACCGTCCACGCCCCCTAGCACCGGCTTAAGCAGAATTCAACATTTAAACACAAAAATGGTGAAATTTTAAATTCAAAACATCCGCAGATGTGTTCATACGGCAGTTATCATGGAACCTTCAATGTGACACAGTAGTGTCATTCCATGAAAAGCGGCGTATGGTCCCCAAGTCAAAGAATGCGTGTGCCCTAAACGAGAAAACAATGGGCGGAACTAAACAAAATGGAATTTTGAAAGGGGATCTGAGGTTATGAAGCCTGCATATCACAGTTAAGACGTCAAAAGACAAATTTAAAAAGCAGGCAACATATCCTAAGGGTGATTATACAGTATTCAAGTAGGACTACTGGAACCACCCAAATTGAAAAAGGCCAAATACAAGAAACTGAAAATACAATGTTAAATGTATACACAACAATAATGTCGTGTTCAACGAGCCATTTTATATCCGAATGACGTCAAATTTGAACATAATGTCACATAATTATAACTAAATCTGTTGATGGAATATATAGACAATCAGAGAATAAACTATAAATGAATTCGAAGTACAACGTAGCTTCAATAACTATTTTGATATGTTGCGCCGGATGCGTGTTACCATGGTTATTCAATATAATAGAAAACACACGTTTAGCAAAAGAATATTATAAATTTATGCTTAAATTGTAGAGAATATTTTACGATCGCTGTACATATGAAAATATTCTTAATTGAATGAAATATGAATATGCAAGACTCTTAATCCTTTTACTTTTTGAACAACCCTCGTATAAAGGGACATTAAGATCTTGATCTACATTAAAATATCTGTATCAGTGTATCACCAACAGTCTGTAACATATATGCCAAAACATTGATGTTTTAAACTCGTTTGTCATTTCACAGTGTTAGAAAGCCTTAATCAATGGTAGTAAACTACTTAGGTAATCTGTTTTACATAAACTGTTAGATAATGCCATCTTACATATGCTCTCATATCCTATTGTTGATTAAAAAGAATATTTATCTTATTTTCAATGTATGTTGACTGTTCGTGTAGTAAAGGATTAAATGTAGAAGTATTAACAGTTGTCTTAAATATCTAAAAGTTCGTTTTATTTGCATCAATCGCCTTTTTGACATGAAACTATTTCTGATGTTTCAAAACTGACCGTTTTCTCCATCCAGATTCAATGAATCGACAATCTCAATATTCCGCATCTGGCAGTTTGTCGAACAATATTCTTTAGTGTACTCCCCTGATCCTAATATACAGAACACGCAGCTTTTGTAAGTCTGACACACTCCAGGACATGTCTGAAATGATCATTTGATAACTTTGTATGCTTAAAGATATACAAATTTATTCAAAGTCTAAAGGTAGAGGCAAGTAAACCAAACGTAAATTGATTCGAATCTAAAACTCTTGGATGAGACATAAAAACAATAGAGACACATGTTTCTGTGACCGTGACCTTTATAGCATTATTAACGTGACTTACATGATAGCCGCCGTATGAACACATCTACGGATGTTTCTTAATTCAAAATTTCACCATGTTTATGTTAAAATATTGAATTCTGCTTAAGCTGTGGCTAGCAGGCGTGGACGGTAGTTTGCATATGACAATACCGTCCATGAACAGGCTCAATCAAACCCAGCCTGCAACATTTCCAATTTGGCCATGTTGGACTTTCTTAAAGGGTTCTTATTTTCTCTATTTTACCATCCATTTGCCCAGAAGAACATCAAGAACAAATACGATACTAAATTATATTCATGAATTCGAGAATCACGATTGATTTAGATAGATAAAAGAAAAATATCTACCAACAGTAGTAATATTCTGTTAAAAAGAGAGATAGAAACAGAAACAGTAGAAAACGACAATGAAAAGAGAAAAAACAGTTACCGGGCATTCCTCACATGTTGGCCCGCGAAAATACGAGTCTTTATCACACAAACATACGCCGCAGACACAGTTTCCCACTCCATTACATATCTGAATCATAAGATAATTAAAAAATGATTCATTATGACAAAAACAATGCCCATAACCTGCTTAGATAGACTTAAACAGCCTTTGCCTTTATAAAAGTTAAAAAAAAATCAGAAAACAACACCTGGCCTGCATTTTAGTGGTTGTTTAATCTTACTATTGACGCTTTTTGTGGTGCATGGAATGTTTAAGAATCTAGACACACACGGCTCTCACAGGAGGATACATATTTATGAACAAATAATAGTATATAACATTTTCAATTTCATTACCAGGTTTACCAGAATATATTCGGTGACATTTAGAATAAACTCAAGAGTTTATTTTACTAGGACTTGATTAAATATTATTTTTCATAATATATTACAATAAATTCTTTTAGTATAATATTCATATTGAGAGTATTATAAGAAATGTCAAAATGAACTATGTCACATGCAATAAATAAATCAAGAACAGTCTAACCATTCCATTACTGGCCATACAGGAATCAGATGATGTAGGACAGTCGCAAGCCTCACCGGTATAGCCGGGTTCACACTCACATTGTCCGCAAGAGCACCGCCCGTGTCCTAGCAACAAACAAGTTACAGACAAAAACACTGAATGTGGATAGTTTAAAAATCTAGGTGATTTAAAAACATGTATCATTACATCACATTTAGAAACATTCCAGAATATAAATGATTTCCTGCCGGTATCAACATGCAAAATATCTTATGTTTCTTCCAATACTCTGCACGTAATTTAAAACGTACAATTTGCATGCTAGAGATAACCTGCTTACAGCATAGTAGTCAGATTAAAGTTAAAGTAAAATGACAGCAATTAGCTGATTGATGTCTTCATTCCACTAAATACAAAATGATTCAATCGGCGACTCTTCCCTCTGTTATTTGTTGTTTTTTTTGTCGTTGTTGTTGATTTTACATCTTGATAACATTAACAACAAAGGCATTTGTTGGTCTAAGACAATCTCGACAAGTATATGCTTAACATATAATAGTTTCAGTTGACTCATTTAATGCCGCGCGTACCTGATTATAAGGAATATTGTAATAAATGAATTGATTACCTGCACATATCCGGTTATTACTGTAGGAACATGAGTAATCATTGCATTCACAAAACTGACCCGAGTAAACTTGTGATGATTGAGGCCGTAAAGGGTTACAACTACAAAACCCACAAATACATTCTCCTCTCCCAGAACACATTACTCCAGTTGTTGAATTTGGACTTATTGTAAAAAAGAGATTTTTATTTACATTAATTTATTGTGTTTGTTATTTCAAGTCATTTGTAATCTTTTTATGACAAAAAGTTTATAGAAAACCCAACAAAATCAGACACATATCGTTCCAATAAATAACAAGAAATTTAGAACGACACATATGCACCCTTTCTAGTCTTTTTGGCAATTTTGTTATAGATACTTGCCATTAATGGGTACATGGAAGTGTTCGGTTTTTGAAAAAGAAGACAAATAATGACCAACTACAATAAATGAAATGTAAAGACCTTGACCTTTGATCTAATGACCCCGTTATGACTAATCAATATGTGAAATATGAAGAATTTGTGATAAAAAAGTTTTCAGGGTAATGAGCGGAAACCATTCTTACATTTAAGACCGAATATCAATAAGGGACATCTACTAGTTATGACCAATCAAAGTGTGAAATATAAAGACCTTGACCTTTGAACTAATGCGCCCATTATGACTAATCAATATGTGAAATATGAAGACTTTGTGGTAAAAATGTTTTCAAGGTAATGAGCGGAAACCATTCTTACATTTAAGGCCGAATATCAATAAGGGACGTCTACTAGTTATGACCAATCAAAGTGTGAAATATGAAGACTTTGTGATATATAGTTTTCAAGATAATGAGGGGAAGTGATAAATAGTTTCAAAGATAATGAGCGGAAACCATTCTGACATTTAAGCCCCTTTGACTTTTGAACTAGTTACCCCGAAATCAAAAGGGATCATCAGATAATCTACCACATATGACCAATCAAAATGTGAAATAAGAAAACTTTGTTATAAATTGTTTTCAATGAACAGAAACCATTTTGAAATTTAAGGCGCCTGTGACCTTAACCTTTGAACTAGTAACCTTAAATCAATAGGGGTCATCTACTACATATGACCAATCAATTTGCGAAATATGAAGACTTTGTGATAAATAGTTTTCAAGGTAATGAGCAATATCCATTCTGATAGTCAACGTTCCTGTGACCTTGACTTTTGAACTAGTGACCCCAAAATCAATAGGGGTCAGTTATGACCAATCCGTATGTAAAATATGAAGACTTTGTGAGAAATAGTTTTCAAGAAACTTGTAAGGACCGGAAACCAGTTCGACATTTAAGGCACCTATGACCTTGACCTTTGACCTAATTACCCCCAAATGAAAAAGGGGTTATCTACTGGTTATGACCAATCTGTATTTGAAATATGAAGACTTTGTGATTAATAGCTTTTAGGAGAAGCTTTTCTAACATTTAAGGCCTCCGTGGTCATGATCTTTGACCTTATCACCCCAAAATCCACTTCTTATGACCAACCAGTATATGAAATATGACTTTGTGATAAATATATTTCAAGAAAATGAGCGGAAACCATTCCGACATTTAAGGCCCCTGTTATATTGAACTTTGACATAGTGACAACAAAATCAATAGGGGTCATTAACTAGTTATGGCCAATCAGTATGTGAAATATATTGACTTTGTGATGATAATTAGCGGAACCCATATGGTCTTCCGACGGACAGACAGACCGACCGGCATTAGCAAAACAATATACCCCCTCTTTTTCGAAGGGGGTATTATAAATATCATCGTAATACTATGAAATAATTTCAATTGCAGAGGTATAAAAAGGTGCAATTCAATTTGAGGCAAAATGAGGTAGTTCAAAACCTTGAGATAATTTTATTGTTTTACAACAAAATATAACTTGGTCAAGATAATTCATTGAATAATTCTTCAGTAATATCTTTTGATCAAATCACAAAATCGGATCTAAGCTACATATACTTAAATTATGCAGAATAAGTTTGTCAGCATGAAGTTATACACGATTATACTTATATAACTTGTTGCTTATTACTTTTCAATTGAAGCACTTCACGTTTAAACTGACCTTGTATTAAAAATAGTTATTTATGTTATCCCATAATTGCCAATTTCAAGATTATTGTCTTAAAATGTACTGTAGTACACTATTAGTTAACAGGGCTCCACAGTTTTGGGGAAAAGTGTTAAAAAAGTTTTTTTATAAAAAAAATATTTTTGACTGTTATAAAAATAAAAAAAAAGGGGTTAAACACGCAAATGGGCCCAATGTATTGTCCTTTGTTAAGAAAAATTACAAAGTCATTCTTGGGTAAATCATATAAAGATATATATCAAATTGCAGCTAAATGACATCACCGACATTATTGTCCACACTTAAACCGTTTTTGAACAACATATCGATATCTTTTTTTTTTTGCTGGTCGGACACAACCGTGGAACCAGTCCCCACTTGATTTTCTACAATTTGATATATAGACTAGTTTTATATGTTTTACATAAGAATGACTTTGCAATTTTCACTTATACTGGACTTGTGACATCATTCGGCCGATTTGGCGTGTTTTACCCTTAGTCTATATATTATATATTCAGTAGGTTTGTGAAAATGTTTACATCTACAAAACACCTTTCAAAAACACTGGATCCCAACAAGGATACAAAAACGTAGACGAACAATTAATTGGGAGAAAATAAACGTTCATACAGTGCTAAAGTATAAATACCCAAGTACTGTTGGCGTATTATGCCTTCATCAGGGGTGTATTACAAAACAAAAATCTCTATACGTGTGTACTGTATAGTATCAAATATTAAACTGAAACACAGTCGCTAGAAAGGTGATAAAATTGCATGGATTATGAATGGTCATTGTTGTTATACTTAACAAAATAATATTATAGCCCGAGGACAATGTGCTGTAACGTAGATATAATATCGAATCTTAGGGGAATTTAAACTTTTTTAACAAAAATTTAAACTACATGTATAAAGCCGTTTTGTATTTATTTACTAAAAAATAATGTCAGAAATTCTAATTTTCATCAAGTAAGATGTTTTATAAAGTAGAAATTAAATACAAATGACAATATATGGAAAGCTCCCAAGCACCAGGAAAGAGTGCCCTCCCCGGCACCGCCTGATTATTTAAGGAAGGTTTCAATCAAGTTGTCAGATATAGGCGAAAATTTCTGTTAAAGTTAGTCTCCTTCATTGACTCCTGATGGCTCAAGCGTATTAAGTCGGCGAATCCAGTATGTCTCACGTGATTTGCGTGTTACATTTGACCACTGCAAATGAGAAGGCAAAGAACGTACAAATGGCCGAAGATGGTGGTCGGCTAATTCTGAGATGCGTTCTGTTGGGTGACCGTTGACAGAAACAATGGGGCGGCCTGGGGTTCCCTCTTTGTGTATTTTGGGAAGAAGGTAAAATCTGCCAGTTTAAGGCTTAGTTACTATTAAGTAGTTTGCAAATGAGCAGGCAAAGCACGTTATATATCCAGTATATTTTTTTTGAATTACTTTTTACACTATCTCAACACTGTGCCGAGTCCTTTAGATTAATTATACATATTTCATCTCGAAAAAATTACAGTAAATAAGCTGACAGCCATCTCAGGAACGCTGTGACATTTTGATATATGCTCCGTGCCATTTATTAGAAAAAGCAAGTAGTTTATAAAATATAGAAATCTAACCTTATACACTGGCGCATAACTTCTTCTCTCGTCATTTCGGGCATGACATCACATTCACACGCCTTACCATAGTGACCTTCATCACATACACAGTCACCACACATGTTCGTACCACGATACGAACAAAGTTCACTAGAAAATTCATGTTCCTGGATCTAAGAAGCAATTATTAACAAGTTACTTTACAAACAAACTGGTCGAAAAAAACATATATGTAATACAATATGATACGTATTTTAGACTCTACCTTTGTTTTCTATATCAACAGTTTGTGTGACCGATCCTACATAAAACATAAATATGTATATTTATTGGTACTACTTTTTGACGAGTTATATAGTATGACAATAAAATTCGTTTTCACAAAAAAAGTTTTCAAACGCGCTTAGTAGAATTAATTCGGATGCTTATTTTTGGCGAAACATGTTAAACTAGACACTTACATGGGGGAGGAACTATTACATGAAGGATGGAGTTCTTATGGTAATTTGTCCGGAGTTCTGGTGAAAACTGTCACCGAGGTCGTCGTTAAACATTTGTATAAACTACAAAAACACTCGTCAAAAATGATAATTCTTATCTTAAAAAGTGCGTTTTAGGTGCTAAATTAAACTTTTATGATTAAGCTTGCCTAACATCTTGTATAATGTATCAAAAACGAATTCATATGCCATATTGCATCGCCTCTTGCTTAAAATCTGGTAGTTTTAAGTAAAATTTCCAATTTTTTTGCAAATTCGCACGTATTGACCTGTTTTTATCTGGTCTACATTCTTGCCATACATAAACATAAAGCCCCGGCTAACAAATTTATACCAGATTTTGTTTTTAAATGTCCTAGAGTTCTTGTGATAACTCTAAAGATGTCATAGAGTTCTTATGATAACTTTTGTTTCTGCCAGTGTTTTTCGTGCGCTAAATCACTGCACGTTTAAGCGCTTTTATATTCAATAAGGTTGTAAATCATTATGAAATATAGTACGTTCATCCTTTGCACAACTACGTGAATTAAAAATGTTTGTCTTTAGTGTCTGTAAAGGATAAACAGGTGATAAGCTGTCATCTACAGTAAATATTGAATAAGCGGTCATCCGCAAAACAAAAATGTCTCAGAACGTACACGTTGTTCTCAATTGCACATATTTTAAGCAATCACCTTTCTTAAGCAGCCGATATATAGTTGTGCTTCCCTTATCTAAGGGCATTGTAATTTTTATCATTTTATACCATAATAAACAAGAATATAACCAGGATAATCTCCCCATGTATGTCTCCAAAAAGTACGATACATGATAAAAACGCAACTGCGGTTGGCTTTAACTACCGATCTCTCGAACAATTTGCACAAACACAAAACATTATAAAACAATAACAACTGTTCAATTTAGATTTTGCCAAACCCTCTTTTAGGATATTGAATATCACTTATACCATTTTCATTTACAAATATTAACAATATACAGGCATGATAAGTATTGACAGAGTTATGAAAATATTTACATGTACATTGTATTTGATTTGTAAGATATGTTCTTTAAAGTTGCCTTTTTAAAAGATGTCAGAGAATTAGAAAAACGTATATAGATGGTATTCTATTCCAAATCTTTGCACCATTGTAACAAAAAGTCTTTTATAATGTCTATATGAAGACACTACTCTCAAAGCGCATTTTATCACTTTAGTCAATGCTGTACATCAATCCCGTTTCCAGTCTACGATATTTGTGTCAGCAAAAATACTATAAAATGAAACATTGCACAAGAAACAGGGGTAAGAAATAATATCTCTCTCTTGAACTAAAAAATACACTCGAAACCAACATTATATATCCTCATATTTGTGCAAAGGATGAGCGTACTACATTTCAAAATGAGAATAATAAAAAACGTTTAAACGCTCCGTGATTTAGCGCAAGAAACACACTGGCAGTAACAGAAGTTATCATAAGAACTTTATGACATCTTTGGAGATATCACAAAAACATCAGGCCATTTATAAAATCGGGTAAAAGTAAGTATGTTAGCAGGGGCTTTATGTTTGCAACTTTGCATATAATTTGGTAATTATGTATGGCAAGGATGAAGACCAGAAATAAACAGGTCAATACGTGCGATAATAATTTGGATATTTTACTCAAAACTACAAGATTTTAAGCAAGAGGCTATGAAAAATGGCCTATTAATTAGTTTTTGACACATAAAACAAGATGAAAGGCAAGCTTTATTATTAAAGTTTAATTTAGCACCAAAATCACTTTTACACTTGACGAGTGTTTTTGTAGTATATACAAAAGTTGTTCCGACGAACTCCGTGACAATTATCCCAATAACTCCTGACAAGTTATCATAAGAACACCATCCCTCGTGTAACAGTTACTCTCCCGTGACTACGGTGTCCGACATAGTGAGTAACTGTAGGGTTTTAACAATTGATAGATTCATTATCACTTACAGGACAGTCCTCACACTTTGGTCCTCTAAATGTTTCTTCACACACACACTCTCCACATATACAACTGCCATGTCCGTTGCATAGCTGCAGTTTGAAAGCAAAAAATATACTACAAAAACAAGTGAATGCTTTAAAACTTGTAATATCCCAGAAACAACCAAAACTTAAGCAATGATGTCACACTTCTTTCAGAGAAGAATAATTTGAAGATTAAGAAAAAAATTGAACTATTTTCGAAAACGTTTTTCACCGAATTTTTTCAATGAATGACTTACAATAAGAACATACATATGATCACAAAAGACGATACAACCAGTACAGAATGACCTTCAATCAGAAACATTCTATAATGCCACAGAAATGTTTAAAGTTGCTAAATTATAAGGTTAGGGTTAGGGTCATTTAAAAATAAAGGAAATCTTGCAGGCAATGAACTTCAGACAAGCTTAGTGACAAATACATGTATAGTAAAAGTAACATATCACAACATTTTGTTCGCTTTATTTCCTGACATTAACAACTTGAGCGCTATTTTGTGTGATGTCTGGTTTAGATTATGGTTTTGACTCAAATCCATACAACTACTCCATACAATATAAACAAAAACATTGTGATACCTCAGAGTATAAAGATCACTAATCTTAGCTTACCAATCCATTACTTGACTTGCACGTGCTCGTGTCTGTCGTGCAATCGCATGCCTCGCCAGAATAACCAGTGTCACATTGACATTCACCACAAACACATCGACCGTGTCCTATAGTAACAAATAAAATACATGTACAAAATAAAGATGAAATGTGCATTTATCACAGAATAGAGATGTGCAAATATAGAAAAAGAAATCCCCATAGACACATTTAAATACTTGGGGTAAAAAACATGACCAAAGTACCTTGTAGTCGTTCACCCGGTTGTGATTATTGATTCGAATTGACAAATAAAAGAATTTGATTCGATACAACAAAAATCGGAAGTAGCGAATAGTTAAATGACAGAAAGTCATATGTGGTCAAATATGTTTTCTTACCAGAACAGAACAAGGAAATAATTATTTCAGTGAAAGACGCAAGGACCAGTCTTCAATAAAATGAAAGGCACCGTATTGTGTAATTAGAAAGTTTATTCAATTCTATAATTTGATAGTCCATGTGTAACATTCAAATTTTCGATACAGATAAATAAAAGCAAAATTTAAAGAATAATTTAAGAAGCTTTTTAAAAAATAACAAAGTAAAACGCATGTATATACGAATGGCTTACAGTCGAACATCGGGAATTCATCAACATATTTACGAAACTTTAATTTGAAAATAATAAAAATCTGGAAACAAGTGATCCCTCGGAAGCATTAATCACAACAAAATTACAAGAGAACTGCAGACTCGGTTAGATTGAGTCTGTACATGAGGGATAATGAATACGTGCAACATCCCTCACGCCCCCTAGCACCGGCTTGAGCGGTACTCAATTCTCAACACTTAATAGTGCTGGCATCAATGATCCCGAAGGACCAGAAAAATATAACAACACTGAAGTGAAAACGATATTTGCCGCTGAAGTATTTAATGTTCACAATAATTTGAATAAATAAAATCAAAAACTTATATATTTGTGTTCTAAAAATAATCGGCGGCATAAGAGGAATTTTTGCAAAATTACCACAGAAAATGTGTGTTTTTTTTTGTTTTGTTTCTTTTTTGTTTTGTTTTGTTATCGAAACACGCAATTTTAATACAATTTATAGAACTGACGCTTCGATGTACTCATCTATTTGCGGGAAATGGTAAGACGTACATAACCAAACGTAATTACCCCAAACCCTGTTAACAACACATTTCCCGCAGTTCATATTTCAAGCTAGTGATGTTTAAAAATAGATTATATCGATAAATTACCATAACTTAGTTGAGAATTGGCAATAAAAAAACATATAGCTTCCTGATCAGTTTTCACGTAGATTGATTCAATTTTGAATAAGCTTTGTAGATATGTATTTTTTTCAAGAAATATTTACCTTTAATAAATATATGAAGCAATCAAAGTCAGCGACGAGTAGTTAAATGGGAATAACTTTCTTTTGAAATATGAATGATATTTCCGTGATTTTATTCGAGGTTTGCTTCAGGAGAAGACAATTTTATGTCCGTAGAGCATGAATATTAATACTCATCACAAAACAGTATCTTTATTGATCTCAATTATGTTATATGTAAATATGTAAAAATTTTATGTTCAATAAAATATGTTGCATAATTTTCAGTTATTATTATTATTTAATGATAAATGACATAAAGTATTTATGCCGGCATGATGAACAGTCCTAGAATATTGTGATAAGGAATCGTCAGTTGTTAAATGGTATTGTGATATTATATTGAACAGTCTTCATACTTGCTGGTATGTCATTTTAATATTGACAGTTTAGGTTCTTCAAAATTGGCATGATTAACAGTCCGAATGTGTACCTTTATGAAAAGTTCTGGAATATTAACAAAATGATTAGATTACCATATTAAGCATATGAATGGAAAAACACAACAGTAAGGATTAATGGCGCAATGGACAGATCTTCTTATTTTGGTAATAATTGAAATTACAGCACATTTTAAGAAAAAGAAATGAAACTAAAAGACTGGCACAGCCTCCCCATCAGTACATACAATTGATTACTATAAGTTTGATATTCTGCTATTTTTTCTATTGTTAAGTTGAGCTGAATTAACTATATACATGTACTTTATACACATATTTCAAAAGATTGACTGTTACAATGGTGATTGCCAATAGTTGATATTGGGAATGTTTAATCTGCCTAAAGTTTAAAATGATTGTTCCACTCTTTTTTTACAAATAAAACGTTATACAGAAATTTCGTTTGGCTTTAGCCATATTTTATCTTAAAGAAAGGTAGCCAAAACAAATATTTAATGATTGGACTATTTCCCTTAATGTTCATGTTAAGTAGCAGATGCACAAATTTTGAAAAGCAATTATTACCTCCACATAATTTGCCTTCATGTTTTGGACATGAGAAGTCGTCACATTCACAATACCGTCCGAAATAACCCTCAGTCATGTTCGATCCTCGTGAAAAACACTCGCATGACCCACATTTACACTCACCCCTCCCGTTACACGGCTCCGCAGAACCGGAGCTAGGAAAAAATAAAAAAATAAAAGAATGAAACAATTTTAGCCGAGAGAATTAACAGTTTTTCATTAAAACTTTGATTTCATACCAAAGTTGCATTTATATTGTTCCATTTCCCAAAATAGCTCATACATTAAATATCTCAGACAGGTTAAAAGCAGCATACCTCCAGATTCATGTAACTTTTCATGAAAATCTTGAATGTATTTAAAAGTTGTTTAATTTTATCAAGTGAACAAAGAAAGTAATTTTCACATTGAAAAAGGCACTTAAAATCCATGCAAGGACAAACAATCCTCACTGGGTTAGAACTTTGCGCAGTTGATATATGGTGATAAATATTGCAAATTAATTAATATGGCAAATAACATATATATCATTACTTGAATCTTTCTACTTTTCTTAAAAACTTAGTACATATTTATAGTCTTGCAATAGTTTGGCTTATCTCGAGGCATACGGCTTTAAGTTGAAAAAAGGAGATCTTTACTGGATACCTAGAATAGCGTTAGTTATGTTAGATCAATTGTAATTCTCAGACCTAAAGGTATTTTTAACACAGTTGCAAGATTAGAGTCTTTCATAAAGTGTCTTAAATCAGGCACAGATGAAAAACGAATTATATAATGTCACTACATTTTCCAAAATGAACTTCTCAATATCACGCACCCCTCCCACTTAAAAACCATGGTTTAAACAAATTCATTTTAGCTCGATTGCGACACAAGTTCTTGCAACTTATATTAATCACTTTCGAGTTCGCTTCCTTGAACAACCAGTACTTGTGTCAAATGAAGAAACATGGTCGTGCCCGTGTAGGGCTCGAACCCATGATCTCTGGGTTGAGAGGCAGACACCTTAACCACAAGGCCGCGGCTCCACTTAACCTTGACATATAAAATTGGCATGGCTTACTCAGTGCATGCGGCCATGGCTGTGTCACGATCTGGAATCCGATAATTGGCCTCGCATTCACACATGTCCCCATAGAAATAAGGTTCGCATTTACACGTGCCGCACGGGTCAAACATTCCACGATGGTTACACTGTGGATGTTTCGGTTCTAAAATCTAAATTGAAAAATCATTAAACTGGATCTGTGTTTATGAGTAAATAATAAATTTACTAAAAGCAAAATCTTCAACTCATTTTGTTTCATTCTGATATTAAAGAAAACTTTTTATGGTACATTATTTGCAAAATATACAACAATAAAAAAATTGAACTGTTTGTTACGTCCAGGATGTTTAACCACGTTGTCTATTATAAGGGTTACATATGTAGTAGTAAGTCATGGTTAATGGGGACGCCCGTATAATGTTTTTTTGGCAATAAAACTTCAGATATTTTCCTTCAATCTAATAAAAACCTGGTTCGCGCCACATCACTACACGTACAACGAGGAAATGTATAAGTTAAAAGTCTATGCTATATGTTTCGGCGAGCAAATGTTATAAATGAAACTGATTCATACGAATATCTACAAAACATAGCATTATTTTATTCAACAATTCAGTAAATTCAGTAATGAACGTACACGAATATAACATACCCAAATCAAGACTGTTTAATGTGAAAAAGACTCATCTTATAGTGTAACGCTATCATTTAGCGCGTCTTTACACAATGTTTGTAAAACATAAATGACGTCCCGTCAAAATATATTCATGAACGTGCAGTACCATATTACCGGAGTCGCTAAAGCAGTACGGGTATGTGATAAAAAATTTTACCATTTAAAACATATACAAATGTATTCAAAGTCTAAAGGTAGAGGCAAGTAAACCAAACGTTAATTGATTTGAATCTAAAACTCTTGGATGAGACATAAAACAATACTTGAAGTGCTACGAGACAGATGTTTCTGTGACCGTGACCTTTATAGCATTAACGTGACTTACATGATAGCCGCCGTATGAACACATCTGCATCTTCGGATGTTTCTAAATTCAAAATTTCACCATTTTCATGTTAAAATGTTGAATTCTGCTTAAGGCGGTGCTAGGGGGCATGGACGGTAGTTTGCATATGACAATACCGTCCATGAACAGGCTCAATCAAACCCAGCCTGCAACATTTCCAATTTTGCCGTGTTGGACTTTCTTAAAGGATTCTTATTTTCTCTATTTTACCATCTCTTTCCCTAGAAGAACATCAACGAAGAAATACGGTACTAAATAATATTCACGAATTCGAGAATCACGATAGATTTAGATAGATAAAAGAAAAATATCTACCAACAGTTAAAGTTCATATTTTTTTAAAAAGAGAGATAGAAACAGAAACAGTAGAAAACGATAATCAAAAGGGAAAAAACAGTTACCGGGCATTCCTCACATGTTGGCCCGCGAAAATACGAGTCTTTATCACACATACATTCGCCGCAGACACAGTTTCCCACTCCATTACATATCTGAATCATAAGATAATTATCAAATTATTCATTATGATAAAAACACTGCCCATAACCTGCTAAGATGAACTAAAACAGCCTTTGCCTTTTATATAAGTTTTAAAAAATAACAGAAAACAACACCTGACCTGCATTTTACTGTTTGTTTAATCTTACTATTTACGCTTTTTTGTGGTGGATTGAATGTTTAAGAATCTAGACACACACGGTTCTAACAGGAGGATACATATTTACGAACAAATATAGTATATAACATTTTCAATTTCATTACCAGGTTTACCAGAATATATTCGGTGACATTTAGAATAACCTCAAGAGTTTTTTACTAGGACTTGAACAAAATACTATTTTTTCATCATATATTATAATAAATTCTTTTAGTATAATATTCATACTGAGAGTATAGTAAGAAATTTATAATGAACTCTGTTGTCGTGTCACATGCGATAAATAAATCAAGAACAGTCTTACCATTCCATTACTGGCCATACAGGAATCAGATGATGTAGGACACTCGCAAGCCTCACCGGTATAGCCGGGTTCACACTCACATTGTCCGCAAGAGCACCGCCCGTGTCCTAGCAACAAACAAGATACAGACAAAAACACTAAATGTGGTTAGTTTCAAAATCTAGGTAATTTAAAAACATGTACCATTACATCACATTTAGAAACATTCAAGAATATAAATGAGTTCCTGCCGATATCAACATGCAAAAAATATCTTATGTTTCTTCCAATACTCTGTACGTAATTTAAAACATACAATTTGCATGCAAGAGATAACCTGCTAATAGCGCAGTCGTAAATTCAAGTTAAAGTAAAATGACAGCAATTAGCTGATTG